CGTGTCGCCGATATCAATGGTAGAACATGTGTTGCGAGCGGCGACACGTGACGGGCGTGGAACCGTGGAATCACCGTGGAATCCCCGTAAATTAACCCTACGTTCTTCCGGTATGGATACATCCATGCATCGACATCATGTGCACTCTGGGGATACTACGGTAGCATGAGCGGAGATACCTCATAGTTCAGACCAAAAAAAAAAAAAAAAAAAAAAAAAAGGGCCGAGATAAGTTGCTGTTTGAGGTTTTGTCTTTGTAGGTTCTGCATGACGTGATAGTCATTACATCATTCTGCTGCCGTGTGCTAAAAGTGGCGCAATTGGTCCATCCGAACCCATCTGCTTTGTTGAAACACTTGGAGGGCAATGACAAATTGGGTAATAATAATAATACACAGAAAAGGAGAAAGAAATCATACAGATATGCTCACAGCAATGACCGGGCTGTGAAATGAGATGTAAAGAAGGGGGAAAACACCTATTGTAACATGTAACTAGATGCTTCGCATAGTAGAAGAGAAGACGAAAAAAAAAAGCATCAACAAAAGTGATTACCAAAGATGGCTGATATGAGGTCTGCTAGGTGTTTGGATATCATTCTGATCGTACAATCAGTTGGTGTAAAACACATCATCATCAAAGATTAAAAAAAACCAAAACAAGGTCTCGCCGAATAAGAGGGGAGGGTATTTTTAATGGGAAATCATGTAATGAGACCGGGCCGGTTAAAATACCAGCGCTCAATGTTGACTCCATTCGATGGTATTTAGGTCAACGCCCTCCTGTACTAGCTCCCACAGCGGGCTAAGCTCCCGCAGGAACGACACTCTCTCTCTCACCGCCTTCAACACATAGTCAATTTCGCTCTCTGTCGTGAACCGTCCAATGCCAAACCGTATACTGCTATGTGCGCTCTCGTCGCTGTTTCCAAGCGCTCGGAGCACGTAGCTGGGTTCCAGCGAGGCAGAAGTACATGCACTACCAGAGGACAGTGCGATATCCTTGAGGGCCATCAGGAGGGACTCACCCTCGACGTAGGCGAAGGATACGTTGACGCAGCCGGGATAGTGTTTTTCGGGGTCGCCGTTTAAGGACGTATGTTCCATCGAGAGGAGGCCATCAAGAAGCCGTTTGGATAGGGCTTTGATGCGTTTCGCATCGTACTAGATTTTTATAGAATCAGTAACGCGGTCCATATCGTATACCAAACACGTTAGACGTAATAAAACACATATCAAATGGTAAAATCACCGAACCAATGTCATAACCCCTGCTATGTAAATCAAAGGTGGTTGGTAAACACAGCAAAAACCGTGCAGCTACAGCCAGCCAGTCTCAGAAAGCCATGCATATTCTAAAGCAATATAATCATTCCAGGCGCGGAGGGATAGAAATGGAAAACGATAAAAAAGTCAAATAGAACTGAGCAGGAGTTTTTCTCTTACCTCCATTTCTTCCTTTGCAATGCGGCACGCCTCCCCAATGCCGACGGCAAGGTGAGGAGCCAGAGTGCCGCTTCGAAGTCCTCTCTCTTGGCCACCACCTGTAATGATGGGGTCGATACGGACTCTCGGCCGCCGTCTGACATAACAAGCTCCGATGCCTTTCGGCCCGTAGATCTTGTGTCCAGAAATCGAAAGGAGATCAACGTTCCATTCATTGACGTCAATGGGGATTTTGCCAACCGCTTGGGCAGCATCGGTGTGGAAGAACACCCGTTTGGACCGGCATAGAGCGCCGATTTCTTTCACGGGCTGAATAACGCCAATCTCATTGTTGACTGTCATGATACTGACCAACGCCGTTTCCGGACGAATTTCGGCCTCAAGGTCTTTCAAATCTATTAATCCGTTGCTCTGCACGGGGAGGTAAGTCACTTCAAACCCTTCATCTTGAAGATGTCGACAGCTATCCAGCACGCACTTGTGCTCGGTCTGTGAGGTGATGATATGCTTCTTTTTCCCCGACCGGCCGAAAAACTTCGCCACGCCTTTGATGCTCATATTGTTACTTTCCGTCGCGCCGCTAGTGAAGATGATTTCCTTGGGATCCGCACCAATCAGCTTGGCGACATGCTCTCGGGCCTGTTCCGTAGCCTTTTCGGTCTCCCATCCGTACGCATGCGTTCTCGAATGCGGATTCCCGTAAAGGCCTGTGAGGAACGGAAGCATTGCGTCAAGCACACGTGGGTCTGTAGGCGTCGTGGCTTGCATGTCGAGATATATGGGTCGGCTGCCTTGGTCTAAGACGGTAGCTTGCTTCAGAATACCAGTCGACGGACCCATCATGGCATCACTGTCGACCGCGGTGCCCGGTACAGTAACATTATGTGGCCGGATACCGGTTTGTTCAGCGAATGGCCTTTGTCCAGTTTTGATGGCAACGTCCACATCCAAGTCCACACTGGATTGGGCCCTGGCTGGCTTTGATTCGGATGTATAGCACCTTCTCGCTGCAGCTGTCCGGGGAGCCGCCGGCCGAATAGAGGCACATCGTCGTGGGTACGCACGAAGTGCCTGTCGGAACGCGGAGGGTGCCAGATTCGACATCGTGATGGAGGGGAGAGATGCAGCGTGGTTGTTGAGTTGGCCAGTTTGGGGCGAAGCTGGAGAAAAATCCTCATTTGATAAATGGGAGCGGTGCTGACTAATTCCAATAGCCAATTTGCCGAAAATACGGGTAATTGAAGCACGTGATCGGCATTGATATCCATGGATCCATCTCCGAGCAGTTGATGATGTATTGGGCAGTATAGAGGTAATACGTTCAGCTCGAAAGGACTTCTTATTGATATAGGATAATGATAGCTGGTCCCAAATTACTACGCTTCCAATGCAAGTAATTGCACCTTGCCCTCTTCTATTCACCAATACGGCTACGCAAACCATCCCATTGGCATCGCCTTGCCATCTGGTCAAAACGGAGGGATAAAAAGCCCCTTATTCAACCTACCTCTGGGATCATATTTTGTTTTGATATGCCGGAGTCGTTCATAGTTGGGCCCGAAGATCTATGGCATAGACCACATCAGCTTTGCCTCGTGGGACCGACTCCTAGTTTACCTCGATACCGTGAAAGAGGAAGACGTAGAGGAGCTAGAAAAAAATGCGATTGCCCTGCTCACCTGGTTCAAATTTTGAGACTCATTAATAAAAGCCGGCCAATATTCGCCGGGCTTATGTGAAGGGCATATCTGCGTGGGGGATTTTTCTAGCAGGCCCAAAGCTAGCTCCTGGGAACAGTCTGCTCCCGGAGGATGTCCGACAACCAATTGAAGAACATGTTGTGGCTTTGTATGAGGCCAAGCTGTCATGTTGGACCCTCCAGAAGATGTTAAAGCACCCTGCGGAAAGGAGTCAATAACGGGCCTGAGCGGTAATGTTTGGAATGCCACTCACTTTGCCCAAGACTTCCAGAACAACCAAGGTACCAGACCCCAAAGCCTTGTTCGCCTCCACTGCCTGCTGGTAGAATTCTGCTATTCTTACAACAAAGTCGGGATCAATTGAACTAGTGTCGACAAGTGGTGAAGACAACATGATGGTGTTACCCGCTAGCGATCGAAGCGAGGCTGAGAAGAAACGAGTGCGTCAGGAACAATACAATACCACCGACTTAAGTTTTGTATCTATACGTACCTCCCTCCTCATTCACCTCGCGGATATTCATCACCTTAGTCATATCCACTGCGCCTTCAATGTCGAAGGCCCATTTGAAACCCAATTCGCTTCTCCCATGCTCCTCTCCATGGGAATCAAATATTATGATTGCAATACCGGGCTGCGGGACATCGTCCGTGTCCGTAGGCGGATCGAAGTTCATAACAATGACGTGTGCCCCAAGTTTTGGATCGGTGCATCGTTTCATGAAATCGGACAGTCCTTGAGACACAGCTTTCATTGCAGTCTTGGGGAACGCAATCGTTCCCGCATGAATCTTTTGTGGGCAACGGTGCACCTTGACTTTGAAAGCAGAAACAACTGATCCCCAGAATCCAGTCAAACGCTGAAATCAGTTGGGACTACTAGGGGATGAAAGTTACGGCCAACGTACCTCCAAAGTTCCCACCTCCACCACGAAGTGCCCAGAGAAGATCTGGCTCCGTCGAGGCCCAGAGCATTCTACCATCAGGCAGCACGACATGGGCGTCAAGAAGGTTATGAGGGTCTGAGCAAAGGCCATGCTCTCCGGAAAACCACGACATCCCTCCAAGGAGAAGTGAACCTGCAACCCCAACGAAGGGCACCCTAGTGCTCAAAACTACATAACAAAAAAAGAAAAGAGAAGGTAAAAATTAATAAACTAACGGCCGTAAAACTCGAGAATAAGCACGTCATCGGGACAAACCTGTATAACCCGGAGCCGCCTCCTCCACCTTCCTATCAACCTCTCCCCACGTCTGGCCAGCACCGATAGTTACCGTCTCGCTATCCTGATCGAATTCAAAGCTGTCGAAAGCACTCATACTCAGCTGAACATGCTTCGCACCGGATGTATTATTACCACCGGATCGGACCGAGAAATCTAGGTCTGAGGCACAGAGGTACTGAACAGTTTTCTGGAGAGCAGGGAGCGACTTTGGCCGTAGAACCAGTTGCGGTTTAGGATTCTTGTATGCGGTCCAGAAATCCGTTGCTGAGGCATACCGGTCGGAGGTAGGCTCGATGATTTCTTCATCGGTCAGAAAGCTCCCAATAGTTGTTCTTTCTTGAGAAGGGAGCGCCATCGTGTTGTCTGTTCTACTTCCTTTGCTGTTCTTCCTGGTGGTATGTAGGAGGTATACAACTAAGTGCTGGGTCAAGAATATTGCATCTGACATGTGCTACCCGCCCCTTCTTTTATGTAAAGTAGTTTTCCAAGTTCCTATTAATAAGTTCGGGCAACCGCATACAACATCCTTGTTACTGTCTGTCGGGGTAATCTTGACCTGGAGTGGAAGCTTGCGGAGCTAGTGACAGCGGCCAATAATGACAACAGACAGTTACCAGAGTCCTGTTTTAGGAACAGGAAATTCAAAAGCATTGTCGATTACTAAAATACGTTACATGGGTTTCAACATCGAACCCTGACGCCGCTCTAATGTTTGAGGCCATACTCAGCTTTGACTAGGGCGGGGGTTCAACGACAACATGCTCCAAACTATGGTCAAATCCCTACTCAGCTCTCGATCACTTAAAGGGTGGTGGTGGTAGTGGTGGTGGTGCGTTTTTCTATATTTTTCTAACTCCTACCCACCATCGCCATGAGTGCATTTTACACTATCCTTGACAAAAACTCTACCAAAGCTCATCCACAACCTTTTTCAACCCCGTCATAGCCGAAACTTTTGAATCCCTCGGCTAAAATCTGAGCCCTTCTTGAACCCCTGTTTCACTGTCCCATTGTAGCCCAACATTGGAGTGCAAAAGCCCGCTTTGAAGGTTCGAGGTTGGCTTAAAAACTCCAATTAGCCTAGTTGCCTGGCGCAAGACGCCGAAATGTGTCCGATGGTTGATGTCAGCAGCCAAAAGTCGTGATGGTAAAGCCCAGCACAACCAAACTAAAAAGGTTCAAATCGAGGGGCGATTCACTGGCAGATATCATCCCTTGAGAGGTTCCAAATTTTGAATAAGACGCCTGCAAAGTGAAGTTGAACAGGGAGAGAATATCACCTTGATCGGTGTCAATTGTTTCCGGGGGCTGTCATCCTGGATGTGCACCAAATATCACCGATCACAATCGGGATTGTTGAAGAATTGAGCCAAAACATGAGCGACAAGAGTGGCCATAAGTTAAAAGAAAATTCGAGTATTCAGCAAGATTTAATATTGTCCTTTCTGCTTTCAGGAAACACACCAGGACAAAATAAATATAGCAAGCCAATTCTGCGCCTGCACTGTACCGGGTTTCGTACCTAGGATACTTCAACAGATAAATTTTCTCCGAATAGCGGAGTTCAGGCTTCGTTAAAAGCACGCGCTGCTCAATGTTATCTGCAAAGGAACATAACGCAGACCGCCCTCCCTTAAGTGAGTGTGAGAGAGATAGTAAGAATTGCCATGAGAGAGTCCGGCACTGCAAAAATGATGCTCTGGAGCTTCTCTCGTGTACTTCAGTGAATAAATATGTCAATACCTATAATTTGTTGATTACACTGCGGACATTGTCCATGAGCTTATCGACAAATAATGGAGAGGGCCAGAGGGAATGAAGCAGAGAACGTGAAGCGTCCGGCAAGAGGGTACAGCGTAAATTCAGATCTGGCGCTTTAGAATCCTTGGCACTGTCTCTATGTAATTGTTCTGAAAGGTCTGATGGGGACGATTTTTTTTTTTCCGAGGAGCACGGCCGTTTAGTATTATGAGGACTTTCTCCCTTCGTGCACTGTCGCTAAACACACAAGAGGGGAATATTCAAAGCAATGCATTGTAATCAATTTTTGTAGCATTGGGAGAAAATAGCTCCGGTCTCTGAGCGGATGAGAGGCACACGGAGTGTTGTCCCCCACTCGAGACAATGTGCACACAGATAGAATGGGTTAATCGCAGCGACAGTCCATCTGCAATTGTGCAGAAGCTGATGCTTACCCTGGATTTTTGGCGAGACCCCATTCGACAACACCTCATCCTATCCCTGAAAAGATGAGCATTTGGAATACTCGCCATAGACAGCTCCTACCTAAGCCCCCCCTGCTCACGCTAGGAATATGTATGGTATATCTGTGCACGCACAAGTCCCTGCGCAATTCGGCGCGGGCCAAAGCGGCTTGCGGCCTAAAGATTCACTGACTGTATTCTTGCATTTTGCATAAATGTGAAGCCTGGTCACTTCTAGCACAAGGGCTACGTTAATCAGATTTCCATTGAGATTTCCATCTATAACATTCGGAAACCTCATGGATAAATTGTTCAGGCTGTTAAAAAATACCAAGGGAGGGTCCACCCGTACCTGGAATCACCATGATTGCCCCAAGCTGGCAGAGAAAAAACAAGAACTCCTCATATTCTCTTGTCCGTAATTCTGTTGCCTCATGATGATCAAGATATCCATGGATCTGAGTTCCCAAAACGTGTTTTGCCGGTCCGTACTGCCGCACGTGATTAGACTTCGAGCCCCTCAGCCTCACGCTAATCGTCATGGCAGCCAAGCCAGATCTGATCTGGCCAATCATTGCCCTATATATCATGCGGAATGCCTTGGCTGTTGTCATTTGTGTGGCTGAAGGAATTCGCTAACTATGAGCAGACTAGTGCGAAGGCTTGGCCAAGGCTTGGCCACCTGTTTTAACCGTATTTGGAGTCAGCCGTCAAACTGGCAGTTACATAAGCCACACCGAGGCGAGAATCTTCCAGGTTGCGGTGGCAGGAAGAAAACCTCCCCGTTCAGCTTCAACTTCAACGACAACAACCTCAGTTTATACACCCACTGTACGTCGTCTGTCTCCTGCTGCAGCAGCGGCTCTGCATAGAAAGAGGTGCGAAGGAGAAGGAAGGCTTCCTGCTCCAGATACACAACTGTTTTATTCCACCGTATCTTCTCAGATTCGTTTTCTATTACCCCCTTCTCGCCCCTCTCGGGACACTCTTGTTTTTACTTTCAACTTGTCACCAGCTTACCCCTTACTTCCGTGAGATATATCCTGGTGTTTTCGCAAAATCCGCCGGTTTCCGCTTGAGGTGGGAACCTCCTAGACAATGAGTCTCAAGGGGTTCCAAAAATCCGTTGTGCGGGCGCCACAGACCTTCAAAGCCCGCTTCAATGTTGGGGAGAACACCAAAGATGCCGTCTACATCGATGCCGAACGGAGGTTTCAGGAGTTAGAGAAGGAGACGAAGAAGCTGCACGATGAATCTAAGAAGTACTTCGACGCCATTAATGGTATTCCAAGTGTCATAGAGAAAATATGCCCTTCTTGAACCCCCTTCCCTCTCTTCCTCAACCCAGATATCCTAGCTATATATTCCCGTGGAGTTGCGCGATGGCTAACTCATGTTATCCCTTCAGGCATGCTTAGTCATCAGATCCAATTCTCAGAAGCTATCAAAGAGCTCTATAAGCCTATCTCCGGTCGGGCCTCAGATCCTGAATCTGAGATTCCTCAAGGGAACTTGGAAGGAATAAAAGCCTGCGACGAATATGCGTCTATCGTGCGCCAACTGCAGACAACCCTAGAACCGGAATTGGAATTGATAAATTCCCGGGTGGTTCACCCGGCCGAGGAGCTTCTGGAGATAATCAAGATCATTCGCAAAGTAGCCGTAAAAAGGCAGCATAAACAGCTGGATTACGATCGGCACCGCGCCACACTAAAAAAACTACAAGATAAGAAGGATAAGTCACTGAAGGATGAAAAGGCCTTGTATAAGGCTGAGAATGACGTCGAGCAAGCGACTGCGGATTTCAACTATTACAACGATCTTTTGAAAAAGGAGCTCCCTCAGCTTTTCTATCTCGAAGCAGAACTAATCAAGCCCCTCTTCCAATCATTCTACTACATGCAACTCAACGTCTTCTACACCCTCCACGATCAAATGCAAGGGATCAATATCGGTTACTTCGACCTGACCTCAGATGTCGAAGAGGCCTTTGAACTAAAACGAGGTGACGTTAAGGAGCGTGCAGAGGAGCTCTCAATCGTCCACTTCAAGACTACCGGCGGTCGTCGCCCGGGCTCCAAGCTTCTTCCAGGCAGCATCAGCGGCAAGGATAAACTCGCTGCGGAACAAAAAACTATCCCATCACGCCGCACGACGGAGACCTCGGAGAACAACCCACCGCCACCCTACTCCGCTCACACCGCGTCTACACTTATCGGCGGGAGCAGTTCGCTGGCTGCAGCGGCAAAGGCAAAGAAACCACCACCTCCACCCAAACCAGCTCGGTTCGGGGGATCTCCGGCTGTGGAGACTGTGACGGCGTTGTATGACTATGAGGCGCAGGCGCATGGGGACCTGAGCTTCTCTGCTGGTGAGGTGATTGAGGTGATAGAGCGGAGTAATAATGAAAATGAGTGGTGGACGGGGAGGGTTAATGGGAAGACCGGGCAGTTTCCAGGTATGACGTCGACCTTTTACCTCACGCTTTCCGACATTTTTCCCTGTCGTGGAACAAATTGAAACTAATTGTTATTTTCCCCCGATGTCAACAGGAAATTACGTTAGATTAAATTAGACGTGATGTCATCTTCTTTTCCTTTTTATCACTACCCTGCACTTAAACCATCTAAACATTATTATATCCCTGCTCTTTTCTCCTCCTTCACATTTGCATAACAGTAATGCAAACGCCAATGCCAATGCTAGAACAGAAAAATAAAAGCAAACATCCTATCGGCCAGAACCATATCACATATAAGTAATGTTTCAAATTGCGCTGTATATAACGATTCATATATACATGCACGCATAACCTACGCTTGTCCAACACATCCCTGCCTATATAACGATCACGGTAATAATTCAAAGTTACGTTTATTTTATAACACATCACATACCTCACGCATGATTCTCTTTTAGTTTTTGAGCGGTATTTGTGGTACACTCTGCCAACTTTCGCAGAATTCTGTGGGACAAAAGCCCAAAAAGCGTGTGATATGTTGTATTGATGTTGGTTATATTATTATTGATATCCATAGGTAGTTGCGAGCGTAATCCATTACCGTCCATTCTTACATCTTTTTTTTTTGTATTGTCATTCGTATCGTGGTTCATATTATGCCCAGCATTTTTACCTTCCTGATACTTTTTTGGAATCTTTCTCATCGCACCCAAACGTAAGATGTCATAATACCAAGTACTACCCTGCCATATTTTGCATGGCTTCAGCGAAGATGGAAATCAACCAGATTCCACATTATTGGTAGGATAACTTTTCATTCAACGTCGCTTCCGTTTCTAAACCAAGAAAGGGGGTATTTCCAATTTTGATTGACCTTCCAATGAATGACAGATGGAAGACAGAGATATCAGCCACCACCGAAATAGAGGAAAAATCCCGGAAAAAAAAAAAAAAATGAAATGAAAAATAACAAGAACCTCTAAATCTCATTTTTCTCGTTCCTCGCCTCCTTGTCTGCATCGTTCTACATGATCGTTTAATTTCCGCCCCTGCTTTTTTTTTTTTTTTTTTTTTTTTTTTTTTTGTGTATATAGATGTGTGTGTGTATGTTTCGCAGGAAAGAACTGTAAAGTTCCAAAGCCCACCAATCAAATTGATACATGCAGCTCTCTCTCTCGCGCGCGCGCATTTTCTACTCAGCCTTCTGTAACGCCTCAGGTAAAGTCTTGACTTTCTCTCTGAAGAGTTTCTCCGCCCTCTGCCAGACAGGGTGAGATGCGCGGTTCTTGATCTCCATCATACAAGGGAGGAGGTCAGTGGAGAAGGCATCCGAGGACTCTGCGGGGAGAAGACTGGGGAGGTGGTCGATTGCTGGTTTAAGAGAACGGGTAGGTGTTGATGAGCGGTTAGTGGGGAAGGACATATAGTAGAATGGTTATTTGGGGGAGGGAGGAGGGAACATACAGATTACACTGAGGGGTGGGTTGGAGAGAGGGAGTGGGACGGTTGGTTTGTCGAAGGTCTGTTTGCATTAGATTCATGTCTGCATTTTTGTTCTTTGTTCTTTCTTTTTCTTTTTCTCGTGTTCTCGATTCAGGGGACTGGGTATTGGCTAGCGGGCCTTACAGTATTTATATTATAGATTGGCTAGCAGGGACCATCTGTTAGCTTTGCGAATCCCTAGAGCGGGAACAAAAAGGGATATACTTACGATAGGGTTATTGGGGTTTGTTGTATCACAGCTCTATTCAATGTAACAGTCAGGAGCAAGTTATGTAGCCAGCGGACAAGTCGAAAAAACGCACCACGTCGCAAACAACAGAGAGCTTTCTGTTGGGGCTCTTTAGGCTCTCCATATCAACAAAAGGGGGGATCTTCTCATTCAAATAGATACAGTTCACAAAGCTAAATATTATTAGTATTCAGATGGGAACGCTCTGCAGAACGAGGAACTGACATATCGGACTCCACAATTTCCTGGAATGGCCCTCCCTTGGCAGTTTCCGCCATATCCCAGCGGAGGACATCTTCGCATCCTGCTTTAACACAAGCATCAACCGCACCCCTATTCTCACGCCGGTTAGTCACATGGCATTGCGAATTTGCCATGTTTAAAGAGGAAACAAACCTTCCGCAGCGGCCCAAAGCTCCGATAACAAGAACCCGAGGTTTGTGGCCGGCTATCTTCTCTCCACGAATAACATCCTCCCTAATCTGATCGACCATTTCTTTCTCGTTCAGATAGTATCCCCGGCCATCGGTAAAATGATCTACACTTGGAAGCGGTGTATCGGGATGCTGAAGCTGCCAAGCCCAAGTCTTCAGAGCAAGAGCAGCACCAGCAAAGCCAGCATGGTATCCTATCAATATTAGCCTTGCTCGTTTAAATTCTTGGTAGCTGCAATCTACTCACCAAATGCAGCAATTCGTCTCCCAATATCATCCTGCGTTCAATTCGAATATTTCCAGAAAAGAATTAGCTCACGTGTCATAACCCCGCTTTGTTGAATAACCCCTGATGGGCTCCAACTTCACTCTCTAGCAAATTGCCGGCAATGTGTATAACTATCTTTCTTACCTGTAAAAACTCTAAATCATACAGCACTCCATTTCCACGGCTCCATCTTCCCAATGCCTTCTCCCACCCTCCTTGACCCTTGTAGCAATGGGCAAACGTGACGTGAGCATGTCTAAGAGGGAAATCTTTCGTCTCATCCAGCTCCTTGAGACCCAGGATAATATGGTCAAGAGGTGCATCGACCCAGGAACCTTCCGGCACTAATGTAGCACCAGCCTTTTCAAACTCTGCATCTGGGAAGATCCGCTTCCGCAGAGCAGAAGTGGGAGAGCGCTCAATATTGACAATGTAGCCTGCGTCTACAAGGAGGCGGGTGGTTTGGGGTGTGAGGGCAGATCTATGAGTATGATTAGGGTAGTACCGAGGAAACCTTTTTTTTGGGGGGGCGATTGTTTCCTGATCACATTGACAGGAAGTCGAGAGTACCTACCGATGTTCAAGAATCTTGTCCTCCGTACGGAGGTGAAGGGTTACTGGAGCCATTGTCATTGTCAAAGATCCACGGTGGTTGAAGTATATCTAGTATACCTGGAATTGAAATTGGAACAGGAATTGACCTCGGGAATGTTATCTATTCCCGGCAAAGTGCGCTAAATCGGCGGGGGTTCGCTGATGACTCAACTTCGGCAAGTCATGTGATATAGTTACACAGGTGGCTCTACTCCGTAAAGCTCAATGAATCGAACTGCATTGAATACACGAAACATCAGACAACAATCGAGAGAATTAACAACCAAAGCTACTGATCTTTGTAATCAGGGGTTTGAAAAGAAAGAGGTCTCTGAACTGTCGATGGATATTATCCAGCAGTCGAAACGAGTTTGTTTTGCATACCCACATTCCCTTCCGACGGTCCTAATGTCATCAGATTAGCCATACCATATCATATAAAAGTAAGGTGTTCGCATGATGTTTCCGCTGAGTCTCAGCTGGCTGAGATATGATAATGATGATGCTTTGCCGTCATTATCTTGACAGCGACTATATTGATGATGTACTCTACATCGGTGTGGAATCTCTACATCTTCTGTCTATCTCCAAGAACCGCAAGCGAATGAGTTTTACGCCTTGCGTGAAAATGGACCAATTTGTTGAAGGATCTGTGAAATGGAACCATATTATTTGACTCCTTCTCTCAGACTTGACTTGTTCGTAATGCCATTCTTCTGTACTAGTGCAAGTTGCTCTCATACTAGAGGGAATTTAGTCCGATCGGAGATTTTATATACGGTGCGGCCCAACCACTATGAGATATCGTTGGGAGTCCGGTCTTCCGGGATGGTTGTATCCGTATATAAATTGGTTTCATTAAATGGAGGCATGAGAGTATCGATCGCGCTGATATCGAAAATGACATCTTGGAAATCAAGATGAGGTCTGCGGGAAAAATCCATGACGTTGGTCAGGTATACTTGATATATTTAAGGATAGACTGATATACACTAAGTTGGACTTTAAAAAAAGATCCTTTAAATAAATAATCAACCCGACATCTAGCAGCGTTCCGCATTCCCTCTTTCTCTCAGCAAGTCCGTCAATGGAGCAAGTGGTAATCTAGCTCTCTTCCTCTGAGTCAGTCGCTTCTTCGAGCACGTCGATAACTAGCTCCTGAATCCTAGAGGCTTCTGCTTCAACCCTGCCCTCCTCCCTTATGATTTTGATAACGTCGCGTATCCGAGGACCATACGAATCGGACTTATCAACTCCCCGCAGCCCGCCGATAACATGGGACATGCGCAGAGCAATTCATTTGTATGGACCAGCCATTACGGATGCTGTTTTCCTTCTCTTCATCTCCGTCTCCATACAATCTCACGCATTCATCTTCCGTTTGCTCCAAGTTATAGCCTGCAAACGTCAAAAGATAAACAGCCGCATCAGATATGTTGTCTGTGCTCGGATGGATGGGGTTTCTGCACTGTTCCAGGCCAGGACCTTCGGCCGTTCTACCAACGCGGCTAATGATAACGGGGAAGATATCGCTTACGTGGAGGATGCGCATCCAGTTCTGGCCATCAGCCTCCAAGATAAAGGGCCCAAGTGAAGCCGTGAATTGCTCGGCCGGGGACATCGCTACGAAACTTGATATTCGCCGGTTTTTTGTTCGAGGAGAATATGGCAGTTTGCTATCGATGAAGTTCGCCCCACAACCTTCAAATTTGAGCACAGTTTGTATATGTTCTGGAAAGGGTCCGTTCTTAAGATATCGGAAAAATCCTGGATGAAGCTTGATTCTAAAAACTGGAGGAGATGTGAGGATGAGAATAGAGGTGATGATACACCATGGGCAATGGGCAATGGTGAATCCAGTGCTCTACAGGAGACAAGTGCAGATATTTATATTCATTCCTACCACAACCTTGTCTTCTCTACTATCCATTCTCCCTTTACACGGCCGCTTCTTTCCAGAAGACACAAAACACCAAAGCTGGCGGAGTGAATAAATGTCCCTCAACCAGTGTTTGCTTCTTGCAACTCTTTATACGAGGACGACAGCGTGGAATCCGTGGTTGAGGATGACGAGGAAGTTGAAGGGAAAGTGGCGGAATGGAGAAACTCTGACAATTATATGGCAGAAGTCCAAAATATGGAACTGTCCCGTATAAAATGACAATGATACCCTCTCCATGGCTTAAATGCAGAGCGGCGAATTCTTTGTATTACTACAACAATTGCAAACGAAGAAGCAATGTTGGAAACTCCAGTTGACGCATGTTGATTGCTTACGGAGAATTTCGCTAAGAATCATATTCTATCTTAGGAAGTTGAAAGTATAACATACTCACGAAGGGATCCAGGATCGGCTCACTATTATCGAGAAGTGAACTACATAGAAGGATAACCCACACACAGATAGCGTGCGATTCCAATCTCAGCCTCCCTCCCAGGCCAGGATCTACAGTTTCATGGCCCAGCCACAGCAATGCTAAATTAAAATAAAAGCAAGAAATGATGGAGGTGGAAGGTTGGTTTATTGAAAGCATCTAGCGGACGCAGCACTGCTTAAATATTTAGGTGCGGTCACATGGAATTCTAGCGAGCAATAAGGATGCCAACAAACCTCCTTTAACAAAGCCCTGGAGATACCGGCAATTTTCTACCTCCTGTGCCAATAAAAGTCCACCGGGGCGGAAGTTGATAAAAAGGATTTTAAACTAGCCTTGGAGGAAATTGGGATATTCTATTCCTGCGTAGATTGGAGTTCCATGGAAAATATTTTGCCCACGTTTTATATACACCTAAGAAATTTGTATAATGATGAGTTATCGTTCCTCTTGTGGGTATATCATATGCCGGACTTCTTTATTGCCATCTAATCACTCTGAGCCAGAAGCCAAGGTCCTGAGATAATTATCAAGTAGTTTTGCGATCTGCATAGCCTGGTTTCAACACATAGTTCAACTGCATGGTTTGGTGCTGTCAGCAAAATAGAATACTGATATAGAGCCGCATTTTGCAGTGTTGAAGGGGAGGGAAATTCCAATTCCACAATTTGGTAGAACCGATTTTCAAAATACCCGACATGTTCGTTTGCTGGACTTAATTTTTCGCTTTTCAGCTTCATCAGCCACCGGTAAGCTCCTCACAAGTGGGAATGGCTGAAAGCAATGAATTACAGTGCTCCGTGTTGCAAAGGGATGAAACCCACGCAGATGCCAGCAGAACCGTTGAGCTTTGAAGGGACCTGAGTTGTTCTAAGCCCGGATAGCTGCATGCATTGTTTTTCTTAGTCGGGAGGATGAGAAGTATGATGAAGGTTCTGTGTTGCTTCGGGAAACATCCGGATTAGAGAAAAGCCCCCAATCAAAAAGGGCAAGGAAAGACCCGGTATCCAAAATGCAGGATCCTTTGGTTAAAAGAGCATATACCCAAGCGGCAAGGTGAAAAATGCTCACGGCCAAACCCAGGAATCAGACCCTTTGGGAAATTTCCCTCACTCCCAAGAGCCAGAATCGCCTCTCTCAGCGAATACGATATAAAACTACAACGTGATAAGGTTCAGATCATTGGAAAGCTTGCTCCTATTATAAACTTACTGGATAGAAATAAGAAATGTTCGATTCTAAGGCCTCCTCACGAAACTCGCATTGGTGCTTTTGACATCCAGTGCCATCCGTCAAACCCAGCCTGTAGCTGAAAATATACTCAGTCAATACAGCAAGGCATTCATGCCACATTTTCCCTTCAAAAGCCAAGTTGAGGCAACCCAGCCGACTGCCATACCCCGTACGGTCATTGCATAAGGATTTCCTAACCGTGTATATACCATTCGAGGCTAGCGACCGCAACGGAAGTTTTGGGATATGGTTTTCATTCTCCAACGACCCGGTTGTCCCTCCAGCGACAAAACACCGCAGACACCCAAGACCAGTTCCAATCCCACGCCCGAGGCAAGGGTGGATTTCTTCATTTTGTTGAGCATGGAAACGGCCATTATTCCAAACACGAGCGTGATATAGATGGTGACGTCAAGATGGCTGACATATTCGATCGCCGCGACAGCACAAGCGAGACCATTGAACGAGCCCTGGACGAAATTTTGAATAGCAGAAAATGATATACAAGGCATTCCTCTGACCTTACCTTACATCTCCATACGGATCATCCATCGACCATTTGCTCAGTTTCGCCTCGGCTCGAATTTTCTCCTGTCTTGTTTTCTGTTCGTTTTCTTGGTATTTTCTCTTGTTTTTGTTAACTAACCATGAGAATTTGTACCTACCTCAAATCCCGAGGACACCCCGTTCTCAAAGAAGACGCTGCGTTCATCACCCAAAACCGATCCCAAGTACTGAATAAAGGCTCTGAACTTAACTTCTGGACGGCTCTTTCTGAGCAAACTGATATTCCACCATGCTCAAAGCTGGCTTGTTTAGAATCCTATCTGTCAGAAGCACTTCTAAGATATGTTCTACCTGTTTCCCCATGTCCCGGGAATAAATACAAAGCCGCCGCAAGACCCTTGAGCGCCTGGGTAATAAAATAGCCACATGTTACGCTAGCCACAGTCCTGCATAGATGACGACATATCGCAGCAAAATTGCGGGCCGAGGCTGTATGGTATGGTAATAATTCCGGAGTTTATGGTTGATCCGGCCAATGAGAAACATCGCAAATTACAGTGTCACCACGTGACGCTTGGCGTTTTCGGCCGAACCGGGTAACGCTCCGCTACCCCATCCATCCCCCACACTACTCTGTCGGCCACCCTCGACCGCTCTTCGAAACTTCTCCTTCTTCCCGTGCTTCGTTCTCCCTGCTCTCAACTCTACGCCCTCACCGGATTGCTACACCCTACACCTTTCCATCGGTCGTAGACTATGTAGCCTAGAGTTGATGAAGCTGAGATAACGACCAGGGAAACCCCAAATCGACCTCCCCCGCGCAGCAGGATTCACCTTACCCTCGTGCCTCGTGCCTCGTGCCTCGTGCCTACACGCCGCTGCTGACACCAAATGCTGGATAATTTAAACCCATTGACCAGCCATCTTCTTCCTGACCTCTGCGCATCTGCTGCAACATAGAACCGCGAGCATCTATTGAATCTACCCACCCGGACGCAAATCGATTATCTTCAAGAGAAACATTCTCCCTCGGCCCCCACCAGTCCTTCCAAATGGCTTCCCAGCAGCAACCTTATGGGGAACGTCACTCCTCTTCGCCCAGCTTCCACTGCACCACCCATACAGCCCCGACAAATACAACCTCTCAGCAACAAGAGGTGCCCAGAGCCCCCCACCCGGCGTCGCAATACTCTTCTCATCCTGCCGGTCGCGGGCAGAACACCACGGCGACATTCCTGCAGGATTTTAATCTCGTCGCAGAGGCCGCGAAGAGGGCGCAGATGGCGATTATCGCGCGGGACCTGGAGGGCATTTCACTATAGCCAAGGTACTTACAACTGTATACATGTGCTGTACAATACATATATCTTGGGCTACTAGGCCTGGCGTTCTTGGACAAGGACATCAAATGCTGGCTGGTGCATTTCAGCGGGATCATAGGGGGCTTTTCATGTTGGTAGTGGCTTTTTTCTATACACACATATATGTACGATATATGGATATATATAACCCTGTTATTCCTTTTCCTCCTTCTTCCATTGTACTGTACATGTACATGTACATTCCTTAATTTAACCTCAAACTGGAGCTGGTCAACCTTCTCAGGCGGGGTCCGGAGTCCTGTAATTTGATTCGTTCCATTGGTTGTTAGTTAGGTATGTGATTCGCTTAGTCAGTGTGCTTATCGCCTGTTATCAAATTTTGTCGCGCAGGGGTTTGAAAATAAACTTTGTTGCAACACGATATATATAATTGACAAAAAAAATATGCCTTTTTTGCAGCTTCTGAACTGATTAACTGCGACACTATTGTCTTTGCAGCTGCATATGGATTCAACTTCGGATAATGGAGCAGACAGCGAATTCGGAAACCTCTTCCAAGAACCGGAGGGATTCTTACCACCCTCCAAAAACCCAACTTTTGAAGAATATGCCATGCGCTCTGGGTCAAACACTAAAATTACGACTCGTGGGCAATCATCCCACTTTGGGTACGGATATTCCGTTTTCTAGTATTTAAAAAAAAAATAAATTTAAATTAAAATTGAC